GTGCAATAAAACTTATTCATTATCATTTACACTAGGTGTATCAAGTTGCCCGGTTTCATTTCAGGTATCCTTGATTGTCTCCCACTAAACGGTCCGATCAAAGTAAGGAGAGAGATATTTTGAAAGGGAAAAGCGAAGGGAAAATTGTAAACTCAAATGGAGGCGTCTTCGCTATTCTATTTGATGGTATTGAACCGGAAGTCAAGATTCTGCAAAGGGTCCACTCATGCGATTGAGAGAGATCTATTTGGAGCCCTCAGTGTAGTGGAGTTGACGGAAGTCATGCATAGCTTATAATTCGATGACCTTGTGCTATTCGCCTGTATGTTAGGAGAATCTTTAACTCGTGTGATACATAATGTTTCCAATGCCTTTGATTCTGGTAAGTGCTCGTCGCAATATTCCAGACTTAATGAATAGCTGATGCACCTTTTATTCACATAGGTTGATTAAATGTAGGTCACCATTGTCATTGTTCCTCCACCTGTTCCACCTCAACTCCGACTCCGTTACAACCGTCAAGGCCGAAAAGTTACCTCCCCCCCCCCATGACTGGTTGATTTTATACATTAAATTTTTCTTTACCTTTCGAGCGTTTTACTCTATATTTAAGGTCTTTTCGCAATTAACTAGACATCAAATAATTCTAGATTTATTGATGTAGTTGACCACTAGATGGGTGTTCGTTAATTTGATAAATTTCTAATTAATCAATCAAAAATAAATATCAAGAAATGTAACCGTCTTAGTTAAAAGCTTATTGTTACACGGCAGGACCATTTTTAAATTTAATAGAATATAAGGAGATTTGAATATATTTTAAATTATTTCTTCTTTATTTCCAAAAACCACATTTAGATGCATAAAAATCCTTCAAGGAATCCTAACTCTGGCAGTAATCTCTGCCATTGTAGGACCTGTACTTCTTGTGCTCTCTCTTCCTACTCCAAAACGCTCTTTGATGCCCTATCCTCAAGGCGTCCATTGACTTTTTCCCATAGCACTGGAGGGTCTGATGAATCAGCGAATTCCATTGCCACGTTTCTTTTGACTTTCCTCAGTCTCTTGATAAGTGTTTCAACTGGATCTGGACATTCGAGATCCTCAATATCTCTTAGTTTCGATGAGTGCCACGCCTTTGAATCGGGGCTTTCCTCCTCTTCGAGAGCACCATGAATCACAGATGTAAGAGCTTTGTCAGTCAAATGTTCTACAAATTTTGTAAATACTGTTTAGTAGGTATCCAAGAAATAAACACATCGATGAGGGTCGTTTTCCACTGGACTATCAAAATCCAATTTCCCTATTGACACCTTACCTATCTCAATGCTATGTTAAAAGAATTGAATGTTCTCTCGAAATAGTACTTCACCTGTCACCTCATGCCAACTTGTTCATATAATTTCATTCACATATGAATATTCACGTATAAATATCAATGAATATGAAAACGAGCAGGTAATAATGGAAACGTTTATCATGGCACTTATTAAAACAGCAAATGAAACAAATTTACCGAGTTTCTTCAAAGGAAATTGGAGCCTTTCAACATTGGCCGAACTGTCGGTAGTCAGTGGCATCCCATTTGATACGGCGACTGCAGTAAGGAGAAGTGTGAAGAAGTACATGACGAGATGTCTCCAACTGAAATATATCAATGCCCACATTGTCGCTCTATTTATTCAAGAGGTTTTGCCTTGAATTATTGTACAATCTCATTCATGCATGTCATTGGGTCAAGACGGGGTATTTTCTGCTTCAGGTGCTACTATGCAATTTATCTTAGTCATGCAAATATTCTTTCATTTTTCAATGAGGCTAAAGAGAAGGGGTGTGGAGTGTCCAACACAACCACAATTGTGCAGTGTGTAAGTCACGTCGTAGTATTGGTCGAATAAGAAGCATACACGCTCGTCAATGTACTGACTTCTTAGACGATCAGCGTTCACTATACGCTGCATTGTATCGTGGCACATCAGAGTTTCTCTATCTACGCCTCACTGTCTTTGCCATGTCAGATTTGAACTTATTAAGACAAATGAACTTAGACCTATATGAAAGAGAACCTAAAACATTCTCATGTCAATCAGCTTGGTTCTAATTTTCAACAGAAATTGTGGATATATGAAAAATGTAATTTTTATCAAGCCATGAAATAACTTCCAAAACTGCCAAATGAATGGCCTTTAGGTTACAACCTTCTTCCCAATAGCTCTTTCATGCCAAATTGGACTCTTTCCAGAATCTTGTCTCCCAATTTCATTCTGTCAATTAAATTTGCAAAGATACTTTCCATTGAATTTTACTTTTTCTCATACTGTCTGTATATACGTGTTTCTAGTATTCATCTACTGTACCATTTTGACCACATTTTGGCGAACATTTTAAAATTGTCTCAACGTGTTTTAGAACTCCACACAGTGCTGGAAATGTAAAACAGAAAGTCCTTGCTTACCGATCAAAGGTTGACAAAATATTTTCAACCACCCTGCGCCTCCACCCACAACCCCCTCCCCCCC